TTTTTTGCATATGTAACCTTGCCAGAGACTCAAATCTCAGCCAGCTGTTTCCACCTGCTCCCCCATAGTCTTCCTGGAATTTCCTACCTCTCACTGTAAAAAGCAAGCATTGAAACTCTTAAATTCTGCAACTTCTGATTTTTTTGTTTGTCTTTTGGTTGTCACTCAAGCCTTTGATGTGTTATGATGTTTTCCTGATGTCTCTGATGATTTTGCAAAGTTTCTGCATTGTAATTTTTTGCTTCTACTGCTCTTGCAGATCACCCATTCAAGGTCTCCTCTCCCCTCCTTGCAAAGGACTTGGATGGGGAATTTCAAAACAACATCAAGGATGAGGAAGGGGTGGCCCTCCAGATGTTGTTGGGCTGCAAGTTCCATCAACCCTTGGCATTGCTTATGCTGTCAAGTGTGAATTGTCCCACCATATCTCCAGGGCCACCATTTCCAGGTCCCTGGTGCAAATCCAAAGGCTTCTCTTAATCCTGACCCTTCTACTCCTAGTTCTCTCATACCACAACTTTCCTTCTTGTTTAGCCACATCAGAAGACAGAGCCCCACTGGGGAATTCTCCCAGTCTTCTCTTCCTCCAGCTCTGCAGCTGCTCCTTCAGCACAGTGGGGAGTCCGTGAAGTTGCAGGTGTGACTCTCCTCTTGGCAACCAGCAAGCATGCTATAATTCTTTTCATACTTGCCAAAGCTCAAGAGATTGTTTTGCAGAGGTGGCCTTTGGGACCAGTAATCTAAACATGAGAACTGAGGGCAAGGCCAGGCAACAACTTGATCTGTGACAGAAAAAATGGGTGGGTGTGTATTGAAGCTCCTGTGCTATCTAAAGCTTGGGGTATGAATGACAGGAAGCAGGCAGGTGGGGGACTCTCTTTGCTGAAGCTTAACAGCAACCCACACTCAGTTCAGAATTTAGATACTCATAGCAGTCTTCATTGTGCAATAGTTTCTTGTCTTCTTCTGTGACCTGGCCATGAAGATGAAAGAAGCAGGCACAGAAGGAGTGTAGAAAGTCAATGGACCAAGAATGTCATTGCTTATCCTGCTTCTGTTCCTGCTGTTGCCCCATGCAGCCTGTAAGATGGTGAGAGCAAGAGGTCCCTTTCATCTGGTCATTGCTAAAAAACCAGCATCAAATTATAACAGACCAGGAGACTACCTCGTTAGTGGACTCCTCTCTTCACAGTACTTCCTGGATCACAAACCATATGTCTTCTCTGAGTCCCCTTTAACCAGGATCAATCAGTAAGTCATGCTGATTTCATGCCTTCCAACCTGCACTCCAATTGCCCCCACCCATCAATGGAGACCACCAGTGTCTTCTAGCAACTCTGACCAACCTGCAAAATCACTCTCCACTTTGTTCCTACTGTCCTTTCGTGAAGGAGTATTTGGTGCAGTTGTATGAGATCTTTTTTCCTATCTGATATTGATTAAAATGTATCCAGTTCATGACTTCTAGATTAAGCACGGGCCATCAACTGCTGTCATTTTTTTGACTTTACAATGTGATTCACATGTATAAAAATTTCCTTGATAAACATATAGATTTTAAATTGTCAATTAAAATGCATAGTTCTGTGAAATGTTCCCAAATATACTTTAATGGGAGCAGAAGCAAGGTGCACTCAAAGAGATTTAAAAAAGCAAATTTCTGCATTTGAAATGGATTCGAGTTGGACTGAGCCTATTGAATTCAGAGATCTTTCTCAAATTTGAGCTTTGCTGATCCAAACATCCCCATAATCAGGAGAATGGGTGCTCATTCCTTGGTGTGAGAACTCCAGGTTATTGCCAAGGATTCCCCCCTGATATTTTGGATAGTGAGTGATTTTCAGTTTCCCCAGCATGTCTCCATCTGATGCAACCCCCTGGAGGAGATCAGCAGAATCCATCACTGGTGTCCAGACCTTCCAGTGAAATGAGCCAGAGCAGAGAATGGCTTGTTGAGGGAGGAAACCAGCCAACAAGCTACTTGGTGGATAAAGCCAGATTGATCCAGGGATGGATTCAGAGAACTGTTTAGAGCTGGAACTCAGTACACCATTTTATTCAGGCTCAAAGAAGCTTGTGTACAGGCTGCTGTCAGGCAAGTGCAGAATAGTGCAGATCTCCTTTGGGCTTTGAGGACTTCTTCTCCTGCCCCCAGATCCAGGAGACTGTAAGAAGAGCCATGCTGGATCAGATATAGGCCAATCCGATCTGTTTTCTGTTTGCACAGCGGCCAAGCAGTAGCGCAAGAAGACAGGCTCACCCTCCTGCTGCCCATGTTCCCCAGCAACTGGGTTAACTTAGGCATTCCATAACTGATACTGGAGGTAATGTGTGGCCAGCATGACCACCACTGATGCTCCTTTTCTCTCTGAATTCCTCTGTAAGCCCAGTGGAAGCACCTTGGAAGAGCAAAGAGCTGCATGTTTGTGTTGCAACTAGGATGCAGAAGCCTTTCTGAGAGAAGTAGCCTTTTCTGGGATTTCTATTGCCTGAAAGAGGTTTTCAATTCATACATGAGAGGGAGGTATTTCTTTTCATTGACAGGCCACGTTATACGTGTCTTTTTCTTGTCAATCATTGCCTTGCAGTTTCCTCTACCCAAAGTACTGGCACATCCTGTCTTTCTTGTTTGCTGTTCAGGAGATCAACAAGAATCCCATACTCCTTCCAAATATCACTCTGGGCTACAACATCTA